ACTCTCTTCTGGCTCGAGCCCTGCAGTCCCAATGGTTTGATTCTCCACTACTGGCTTCAGTATCGCCGCATTGAGAAATCGGACTTGGAGTCTGGCAATAGCACGCCTCCTTCGACGGTAAATCTTCTATTCGGTCATGTATACGCACACAGACTCGCCCGCAGTATCCCATATTTTTTAAACCCTTTTCTGCCTTTCGAAGAGGATGATTATGGAATAACAGCAAAGCCAATGCCGTGCAATTGAGTTTGTTAGGGCAAAATCGTCGGACTGCTGTCGTTTTCGGTGGTAACTACTTCATAGAATGCATAAAGCTGTCTTGGATCTTGCGTTGTTAAGAGGCAGTGGCCCACAGGATAACCGCTACCTACTTTAAGGTGTTCTTATGCCGGATTAGTTTATGTCATATGTGAGCATAGTCTAGACTTCCAAAAGATTCTGGTCAATACGTATTAAACCGCTGTTATGTGAAACTTGAGAAAAACATCATTTGAAGTATTATCTATTGATCCTGGGTTTTGCCTGCTTTTCCAAAAAGTTAATTAGTTAGAATTAGAAACTCATTTAGAGAATATCTGAAATCAAACCTACCATCTAATGCCCGCTTCTGGACAGTATCCAGCACTCTAAATTTACACGGGTGAATTTAAATGGTCAGTACCTGAAAAGTCGGAGAGCACGTACACACGAAGTTAATGCAACTTCGACAGAACAAAAATAGCTAGGTAAATAAGCAGGCTATAGGGGTACATGTTGATTAAATAACGAGGCTATAGTCCAAGAAAATGATTGCATGGATGAAATAAGGACAGAACTGACCAACTATTGACAAGGGCCGCACGCGGGAGTTTTATAAGCGACCGACACTTCGAGCAACTCTAACCATTCGACCCACGTATCCCTCGATCGTATGTTTTATTGAAAATTCATAAGTATGGTCCGCCAGTTTGTCCGATTTTGGACATGCAAAACTTTGCGTATCATGCCATACCGAGGCAATTAACAGAGAAACGTAAACCCATACAGCCTCAACTAACACCACGTACCCATCTGCGAATTCCTTTCGACTAATCAGCAGGACATTGGAATTCCGACGAACACACACAAGGAATTCTTACTCAGCTGTATATCACTTGTGCTGTTTCTTCTTGAAAACCAACTATGTACGGGGTGTCCACGAAGTCTGAGTACATAGGGGATAAATACACACCTTTAGAACGAAAGAATTTTATTTAATTATAATGTTAAGAAATTATATTTTCAATATGATTTCCATTATTTGCAACGCATAATTCGATAGGCCTTGCTAAATTTTGGTGAACTCGATTGAATAGGTGTACATTGCCGTCGATTTCAGCACACTGACTGATAATGCGTTCTCTCAAGTGGTTTAGATTTGCAATCTTCATTGAGCGCGCTACAGCTGCGCTGAGAGCCTAACCGGTGTTGACTAATTATGGGACTCTGCCGTCCCAACAAAAATAACATAAATAAATAAAATATTAAAATTCCTATGTACCCAGACTTTGTGGATACCCTGTAGGCAAATAGACTGTTGTTGTGATCTCTCCTCTTGGTCCTCTCTTAGTAGATGTTTTCATGAGCAAACTCGAGAAATTTCAACTAAGTGATGAGTTTAATAAAGTAAAATACCAGGGTTGCAATTGTCACCACAGAAACCGACGTTTTGGCCCTTTTGTCGACTGTAAATCAGGCACATCCGACATTTAACTTAACGCTCGATGACCAGAGCGTTCATATTCAAATCTCGAGGTACTCACACCTACGATTGACTCATTGCTAGCTGGCAACGACTATTTAAACCATAAATGGCCTCTTCAGTCTCCATTGTCTTTGTCAGTCTGTTTTTCACCCCTGTTTTCCGGCGAAGTTGATCCGAGTCGAGCTGACTGAAAGTGAGAGTAGGTGGTTGACTTAAGCTCATAGTGCCGAGGCGCATAATGCACCTGTTTTTTTTCATCCTTTTTAGTCACGTGTTTTTAGTGAAAGCCACTGCCACGGACACCCGAAATGCTATCTACCGCTGGCGCCCCTACCTGCTGCACTAGTGACAGGACGTTTTGCTCAGTAATTGTGTTCTATGTTTAGATGGTTCCTCGGGCCTGTTATGGGGAAGATGGAAACGTCGTTCACACATGCTTGTTTAGTGCCCCACAACCGCAACTGCTGACCATGGCCACTCACTTCAGACTGAATAAAGTCGCGTAATGGTCTGGAGTTATGAGACTAAATAGTGCGGGTTGCCCATTCCGTGGAGTCGGGACAGACAGGCAAACTCCGGGGTTGGACTACTAGAAGAGCGCAAAGGGTGGCCGGTCTTCATTCGCTTTCGGCACTCTGGCTGGGTAAGAGCCGA